CTAGGAGTCCCTGCATAGTACAAACTGCTAACCAAGAGGTTGGATGCTTGAGTTCACCCAGAGGTGCCTTGGGAGGAAGGGCAGATGATCAACTTCCAAAGATTCAGCCACTGAAAACTCTGTGGAGCACAGGTCTACTCTGACACACGTGGAATCACCATGAATTAGAATCAACTCAATGACAATTGGTTTTTAGGCCACTGGAAAGACTTAAGATTTTCCTATGAGTGAATGGTAAAACAGGCCATGGAGGCATGATCTGATTTTCATTTTCAGTGTATTACTCTCATTACTGTGTTAAGAAGAGACCAATAGTATAGGAGATAATTAAGATGGAGACAGATTTGTTTATGGACATGGATGTGGGCTGTAAGAGAAAGGATGAATCAATGAGTTTTGTTAAAATGAATTTTAAAATATCTATAACCACTGAGTCTTAGGTTGAATGTCAGTCTCTTGTGTTGCTGGTGGATCTTCCCTTTGCCTCCTCAAAGTTGCGTTTTTCAACTAGTTTCCTGGAAATCCTACCTTTAAGAATATCTCAGGACTCCCATCACAGCCTATACTATTCACTTTTGAATAAAGAATAGTGTATCATGCTATGTGAGATTATTATCTACCTTCTTAGAAAGCAGTTAATGATATTAACTAAAAATTATCAACCTTGACTGTACTGTTCTAATTATCTGATGCTGTAACCAAGTTAGAAAATGATATTTGTATCAAGTAGAGTGATGCTAAGTTTAAAAGGACTGAGAAGTACAAATTAGTATAAGATAAAGTTGGTTATACTTTTGATAATAAAAATAATGTATTTGAGTAATGAAGGAAAACAAAAAAAGTCACTGCCATTGAGGCGATTTGACTCAGAGCAACCCCTCCTTGGGTTTCCAAGGTGGTATCACTATGGAAGTAGATTGCCCAATCCTTCTTCCCAGGAGTGGCTGGTGGGTTTTAACCGCCAGCCTTGTGGTCAGCAATCAGATGCCTTAGGCACAATAAATCTTATCTATCCCTTTGATTAGGAGCTCTGATGGTGTAGTGCCTAAGGCACTTGACTGCTAAACAGAAGGCTGGTAGTTCAAACCCACCAGCCTCTCCTCGGAAGAAAGGTTGGGCAACCTACTTCAGTAGTGATAATACCTCAGAAACCCAAGGAGGGGTCGCTATGAGTCAGGTCCAACTTATCTATCCCTTTGATTAGGAGCTCTGATGGTGTAGTGCCTAAGGCACTTGACTGCTAAACAGAAGGCTGGCAGTTCAAACCCACCAGCCTCTCCTCGAAAGAAAGGTTGGGCAACCTACTTCAGTAGTGATAATACCTCAGAAACCCAAGGAGGGGTCGCTATGAGTCAGGTCCAACTTGACGGCACATAATAAAAATAATATCCCCTTGATTAACCCATTTTTTCTTTTTTCCTTCTGCTTTTTCCTAGATGTTCTTCATGGCCCTGTCATTCAGCTATGTTGCTAAAGCACTAGGTGGAGTCATTATGAAAAGTTCCATTACTCAAATAGAAAGAAGATTTGATATATCCTCTTCTTTTGCTGGCTTAATTGATGGAAGCTTTGAAATTGGTAATTTTCATTTTGATTTCAATTACTATTCAGTAAACAGATTTGTAGAGATTAGAAAAAATATATATATATTCATATTTTTACACATGTCTAAACCACTGCTTCTCAAAGAGTGATGCATTTACTCCCCACCAGGGGTAATGTGGCCATATCTGGAAACATTTTTGATTGTCACAACTGGAAATGGGGAAATGCTACTTTAGTGGATATAGGCCAGGAATGCTTTTTCTTTTTTTTTAATTTTAAATTTAATT